CTCTCTCTCTCTCTCTCTCTCTCTGTCTCTCTCAATCATTTGCCTATTCAAATTTTCTGTGAACAGATAGAATATGCAAATGCACTTTAACTTTTCACATATTTGTAGTGGTAGAAAGAAAAAAACAACTTACCACGATATTAAAAGAACTATTCACAATATCTATTTCTAGCATCCATACATACTGCTCGCTATTCAATACTGTCTCACGGCTTATCGATACTTCGCTAACGTCCATAACAAAAAAAAGGACAAGTTGTCAATGCTAAAGGTATTCGATACTGAAAGTATCCGCGTTAAGGGAGCGATAGCAAGGTATAAGCGTCCCCAGCTCTCGCAGCGAGCTATCCGATTAGTAACGGCGCGATTATCGATTTTGCAACGTCGTGTAGCTGAAGGCGGGCAGGCTGCACTAGCACCAGCAGCCGCAGCCAGCAGCAGCGGCGCGGAGAAAAGCGGCGGCGGAAGAGGGGCGGTGGCGCGGACGAGGGTCCTTTTATAGTGCGTAAGGGGCGATACTTTTTTTCTCTCTGTCTTTCTCTCTCTCCTTCTCTCGCTCTCAGCCGGCACGGAACGCACGCGGCGACCATCACTGCGGCGCGATTCCGCCGTGGCATTTAAATCGATCCGCCGCCGGATACGTCGCGATTCGCCGAGCGTGAACCGCTCTCTCGCCCGGTCTCTAATCGCTAATCGCGACAGCGACGTCCCTCGTGACTAGAGATAATACGGCGGACGAGGAAAAATGTCTAAAAAAAAGTCTTGATGTTTTTACTCGTCGAAATATCGCATTATTCGCGTAATATCGATCCCGCGGAGCGAAAATTAGTCTTGGAGAATATCAAGTAGTGCTGACGTAAAAAAAAGTTATAATTGAGAAAACATTGAAAGCAATGCATTTGAGCGTTGCATCAATATTGATCTTTGATATGTCGTTGAGAGATACTGATATACACAAGATTACGGATAAATTAAAAATCAATCTCTTCTCCGACACTTTATATAATTAGAAATGAATTTTAATGATCATATATCAATGGAAAGACCAAGCGTTGTTTAAATATGCTACTTTCAAAAGTTGAGTGAAATTCGATTTAAAGACCAAGTCCGATGAAAAAAAATGTAGATACTTTCTAATATCTGCATGTCGATGACCATCCTTGGCAGATGGCCGTGACGACAGATCGCCGAAAGCGCTACGGACCCGGCGGCTATCGCCGATAGCACACATTTGAGTAATCAAACGTGCGCGAGGAGGAAGGCGTCCATCCATCGAGATCTGACTCATCGCCAGCGACGTATCTATCTTCTCCTAAAACTATACTACGCAACGCATTGTTCGTGTGCATGCATGTTGCTCTTTATGCCTATTGTAATTCAATTTTATATCCTTATCTCGTTACGTTCAAACATCAAATTATCTTTCAAGTTATATACTCTTGTGTACTCGTCTTTAGGTCGATCTTAAACTTTCACAATTATAAACAATTCTCCTATTCATCTGTTAAACATAATAATACACGAGTATCTTTCTTGTAGAATGCACTAAGGGTGTGATAAAGAAAATGATTGAGATGAATGTCCATGAAGAAATTTGTTGTTAATACAATCGAACATTAAACGCCGATGTTTTTATCTTTTTGCTGTTAACTATAATAGATATGTCGTAACATGACATTTTCTTTCAAGTGAGATAATGTTCGATTTTTACTACGTTACTGCGCGTTACTGGTTATCACAGTTACACCATCTTGTGAAACGTTTTCATGCACTTTTCTTATTCATTTTTAATAATAATGACATTCTCTCTTTCTTTTTTCTTACTTTTAATTTGTCTATTTTAATATTGTATTATATTCTGCTCTGGTACAATCCAATCGCTCATTTTCTCGCGCGTTTTGACGGGATTATAGTTCCACGAAACTGATTTTTGCAGAAAAACATTTCACAAACAACACTTGTGAATACATTATACACTTCTGCGAATATGAATATAGATCGAGAAGCCTATAACTTCTCGCGCGTTCGTTGAAAACTCTCAAAGTTCAATCTATCGGAAAATCCATCAATTAATAAAATGCTTAACATTGTATACAGATGCGTATTTGCAATAATTTTATTTCACCGCGTGTGTAGTTCAGTATTAAGAAATATTTGAAGGCGTCTCAAACATGATAAAAAGAATTTCAAGATTAAACGCATTGAATATTAAAAATTAACGATTTGTGGAAAGTATGAGAGTTACGCAAGAATCTTCGCAATGAGCTTTAGAAAGCTGTTCTTCTATTAAGTTTTCCCTTCGTCGTTCACGCCCGAAATTGACAGCAGCCTGTTCCTCTCGCGCTGGGTGTCAGGCTTCCTGCGCGTCTCCCTACCATCTCTCATCGCGGCGAGAAGAAAGACTCATTGCGTTCCAGTTCGTAACGAGCGGTTGGCTTGAAAATCGCGCAGCCGATTCTACCAAATGCCGTTATGCAAGTCACGAATGTACGAAGCCAGTAGCAAGGCCAGAGTCAAGTGACAAGTTATCTATTTTCATTAAAAACGTGATATCATAATCGATTCAACGGTATTAATTATGTTCAATATATGGAATTTTAACGAATCAGAATTATCATTCCGAAAATGCCTTATCACGCAGACAGTGATTAAGGATTTTCGCTCAAATTCTTTACTATTCAAAAGAGCAACAGAATAAATGAATCATGGCGAAAGAAAGGCATTTTCGGAATTCGGTACATTCTTTAAGTTGAAGAAATAGACGAGAAGTAACGTTATCGCTATTTTATCTTTGACGGTTTGAAAACGCTTGGCCAAAAGCTATCATTGCTATTTTTGGACTCTACTTATTCAGAGAAGTGTGTAACCGCCACGTTTTTCCTACCGTCTTCTCATTTAAGAACAAATAACTTTATCATTAATAACGGAAATTGATTACATTTTTCTTCTCGATGATATCTAATTACAGACGCGCAATCTAAGACAGGAAAAAAACAGAAAGAGGCGATATTTCACTGCCACCAGTCAAGAGCGGACAGCGCGTACGATGCCAGGAATCAATGGTAGCATCGACTTACATAAGATATCGGCGGTATCACACAGGTACGCGACGCGAATCGGCGAACGGAATTAGCTAAAACCCGGGCGAGTCGCGGTACTTGGTGATTTCAATTACGCCGATTTATGGGGGTTTCTCGTGATGGAAGGTGGAGAGGAGGGGGCACAGACGATGGACGCGCAAGGGGAGAAAAAACACGCACGTTTCGGATAAATATAGTCCCGAGGTCGCGCAAAAAGAGAAAGGAAGGAGCCGCGGTGCGCGGCGCGGAGAGAATTGCACCAGGATTCGGGGAAGAATACGAGGCTCTGCTCTCTCGTCGGTCGTGGCCGTCGTCGATTTCACGGCCTCCGAGGGCAGCTCGCGCTTCTCTCGAACGATCGTCGCCGGTCTGCCCTCCACCTTCCCACGTCTCGCTATTCCGTCTACCTTCATATCGCGCATTGTCTCGTGAACGCTTTCGTACAACGCGTGCGGCGATCAGCGGATAAGACTTATCCGCTGCTTTCAGCTCCGTAATCTGCAAACGATTGTTTGTAACGGAGATTAATATGTTTTGGACGCGATTAAACTCGAATAAATTATTCCGTAGCATCGGTGGTGACGCTAACGACGGTTTGATGGTTCTCTGTTTTCTTTCGCGGAAACTCTAGAAGACGAAGGAAAGGTGAAGGGAAGAGCGAAAGAGAAAGAGAGAGAGAGAGAGAGAGAGAGTCGGTTAAAGCTTGGTTATTTTAACCAACGTTCATGGCAACGGTCTCTATACCGTTCCCCTACATAATGATGTATCTTTGTATCTTCAAATCGATAACTCGAAGCGAGCATGACCAATGTCACTGTCTGGCTCGAAGGACGAAGATCCTATATAATTTGCACGCATACGGGGATCCCTCCTTTCTGCACATTAAAAAATCTACAGAATCGATGGCCATGAAAGTTTTTCGCACGGACAATTGGAATATATTTTTTCGTATTCTACGAAGCGTTCGTTTCGCCGCGAGAGGAATGGTCGCGAGAAGAAGGCGATCGTCGGCGAAAGAGAGCGAACCGTTAGCCGGCGAGTTCTAATGACGGAGGATCTCGGGGCCAGCTGATTAGTGCCGTCTGGTATTGATTTTCCAATGACGGCCGCGCGCCGCATACTGAGAACTCCCAGCAGGACGACGATGCACACGCGCACCATCACCACCACCACCACCACCACCACCATTACCACCACCACCACCACCACCACTACCATTGCCACTAACCACGCCGCCGTCGCGCTCTCGCGCGCGGAACGAGCCATGGGACCGCGAACACGCCGTGCGAGAGCGAGCAGGCAACACAACCGGCGCACACCTACAAATTCATATTACACCACTCGCTCGTACGCTCGCTCGGCTCGCGTCTCACGCGTGCATATCGCCCGGAAAGAGAGCGAGGGAGAGAAAGAGAGCGTTGTACATACACAGCGTTGCGACGAGTTCGATCAGCGATACGTCGCTCCGTTCGTCGCTTTCGGTGCGTGACTCGTAACGCGAGAATCCGAAACGGCCGAGACGCGATAGCGGGCGGTTGCGAAAACGCACGGGAGCGAGGTTGCCTGCGCTTTTCCCGAGGGAAATAGCGGCCGATCCGCTTCGTCTCGTCTCGGCTACGACGGCTCAAGGCCGCGAGAGGAACGGCCGGGGCCTGGGTCACGACAGACAGAGACGGAACGTAGGCGAGGAGCATGGCACGAGAGCGTGCGGGTGAGACGGAGAAAGGGACGGAGAGAGAGCTGTCGTGTGTGTGTGTATGCGTCTCTGTATTTGTGTGCGTGCGCTCCGTGTATTCGCGAGAGGAAGAGGAGAGTAAAACGGAGCGAGAGACAGGGGCCGAGCGAAAGAAAGGGGAAAGAGAGGCAATAACGCGGAGAGACCTGGGTCTCCGAGAGACGAGCCGGCTCTCCCCTCTATCCATCTATCCATCCATCCATCCATCCATTTATCTATCCAACCATCCATCCCACTCTCTCTTTCTCTATCGCTCTAATGCTTTTTCTCTCCGTTTTGCTCGAGCTGGCTTAGAATCGGAGGAAGACTCTCGCGGCTTTGTACGAGTCGCCTACCTGCGCAGACGAACGGCAGATCCTTCACAGCACAGCCCGATCCTTCTACGTTGTCATCGCCGAATTGTACGCTCTGTGCAAGATGCGGGCACTCCATGTTTTCTTCAGGCACGCTTTTCCACGAGGCCCTCGTGGCCACGTCGTCGTCGAGTTATGAGCGTTTTACGAGGCAGTCGGTCTTTCTCTTTTTCCACGACGGGGCGGTGGACGAGGATCTGCAAGGAGGGGCGGGCAGGGACGTGAAGGGACGAGGGTAACGGGAGAGGAGATAGAGGGGGGAGGTGGGGTAGGTCTCGGTAAAGGGCGAGGAGTAAAGTCGACGGAGTGAAGTAGCCGAGAAAGGAACAATACGTGGTAGAAGAGGCGGGGTACACACTGCGGTGCCCCGTGATATCCGTCACATAGCGCGGCGTTAGCGAGGACACTGTTACGTCGCCTTTAATGAAAAAAAAGAAATAAAAAGTGCAAAACAAGCGGGGAAACACGACCGTTGCTCTCGCTGCACAGCGTACGACGTACTGAGAGGCGGGCGCGCGACGCGAGAACGAGCGAGCGAGCGAGCGAGCAAGCGGACGAGTGCAAACAGCAAACGCGAGGAGAGCGGCGCGGTGCGGCCGACTGGCCTGACTGCCGGCCGAGCGCGACCGAGCTACGTAGAGCTCGGTTCAGCGATAGTCGGCCCACCTCCAGAGTCACAGACCACTAATAGTCGACTGACTCTCGCCGGCAGTGTGCGGGCTTTCCTCCCTCGTCCCCCCCGAGCAGCCACGAAGCGTTCCGTCGTTCTCGCCGCCGCCGCCGCCGCCGCCACCACCGCCGTCGCCGTCGTCGTCGTCGTCGTCGTCGTCGTCGTCGTCTCTTCGCCACTCGTCTCGCGCTCGTTCTCTCTCTCTCGCCTGCTCCGGCGAACAAGCCGTCGCACCCTTTCTCTCGGTATTTTCTTTCTCTCTTTCTCCGTTGAACGACGAGGTTGCGCTAGGTTTCCCTAGCCTTGGATCGCGCTAGGTCGCGCGCAGCCTCTCTCGGCTTAGCCCATCAGGGCCGACTCGCGTCGAAGGCGCGGATACTGACTTCGCGCAGGGCGATGCTTTTCGCGACGAACGCGAATTTATCGAGCGTCGACGAATTTATATTGTGAGACGCCACCGTCGCCACCGCGCGTTGATTCGGATCGATCCCGTAAAATCGCTGCGCATGGAATAACGAGCGACCGACACGCGGAACGAGGTTTATTTTCGCACCGGTACGCCGTGCGCTCCGACCCGATGTATTTGCGCAGCATGCGAATTCACGGCTGATGCACCACTCCGTTAGGCACGACGCGCGATAAAACCTTCGGGCGAGCAGTCTTTTCAATACCGGATCGTTCCGCGTCAAGAGAACTCGATTTTGTCGCATTCACGCTTACCGCAGATGCGATCATTCCCCTTTCGATGCACAAGGCGCATTGTTAGAGAACCAGATCATCGAGAAAGACGAGCGGATCCTCGCGTCGCGATAACGCTCGCCTGGGGGTACCGAGAAACGTTCGAGCTGCACCTGGCCGATGTAATGCGCTAGGGATGTAGTTGTAACCCTCCTATTCCCTCCCCTCGGACCACGCGCACGACGTCGTAAGAAATACCGCGTTCGAGCAAGACGAGTTCTTTAAAACGGCGATGTGACAATACCGAAGGCCAGAGCGGTTAGACGCGGTCGGCACCTATTGAGCCGGAACTGAAAAACAACCAACATGAAAAAAAGACTAAACGCTCGATAAATTGACGCGAATGACAACGACGACGGCGGCGATGAGCCTGACGTCGCGCACATGTGCGACAATGAGATTATTCGTATGTTTGTGTGTGTGTGACGCGTGTTTACAGATGGCAGAATCACGCGGAGCCTGCAGATCCAATGTCATTTATGCCTTACATAGCAATCGCAGCAGATGAGATTAGGCGTTTTCGCCTGAAACGCACTCGTGTTTACCGTGTAAAACGATCGTCGCGCATCTCACTCAGTGTGAAATGGCGGACTAAGCGCACGCGCA